TCGAGGATACTAAGCATACTACCACTTCTTTTTTTTCCTTGGGAAGTAAAAGGACTTTATTATTCAGCCTGTGTACATTTTTCAATTTTAAGAGTCTTGTGGAGTAGTCGTTTCATAGTATACCATCACTTCTGCCTACATTCTATAGGTTGAAGGAAGTCACAAAGTCAAACTCAGATCCAATGGTTAGGAATGTATAGTCACATGACAATGGATAGGGATTATCCTATTGTGGAGATAGAAACTAGTCTATTAAACCAATCTATGCAATTGCTATTCAAAAAACCTAATTCCTTTCATTCCTCCATTTTCCTCACTCCTCATATCTACTCCATCAGGCCGTCCTGTTGAATCTTTTGTCAAATTACACACAGAATCCACACATTTTCCTTCTACCACCCACATCCAAGATACCATCATCTCTTGCCTGGGATCCTAGAGCCTTCTAATTGGTCTTCTCACTTTTTCTCTTACCCTTTACTTATCAATATTCCTTACTGCATTGCAGCAAGACTGATCTTAAAATGTAAATCAGCTTGTATTGTACATTCACTTAAAAATGACTTTCTAATACACTTAATAAATTTTAAACTCCTAATAGCATTGAAAGCCATGTATTATTCTCCTGGCTATTTCTCCAATCTTATCTCATTCTGGTTTCTTCTTTATTTACTATGTTCCAGCCCCATGAGTCTTATTTCAGAAAAGAAAAAAAAATTTACAAGCACTTTCCTATTTTATTGCCTTTGATTATGCTATTAAATCTCCCTAGAATGCTCTTTCTTGATTTTTGCCATGACTTAGCTCATAATTAACCCTTAAGTCTTAGTTATGTATCATTTTCTGAGATAGGCCTTCTGTGATTCTCCTCTCTAAAGTTTGAAAGTGAAAGTCGCTCAGTCGTGTCTGACTCTTTGCATGTATAGTCCTGTACTGTACTGTATAGTCTTTGTACTGTATAGTCCATGGGATTCTCCAGGCCAGAATACTGGAGTCAGTAGCCTTTCCCTCCTCCAGAAGATCTTCTCAACCCAGGAATTGAACCAGGGTCTCCTGCATTGCAGGTAGATTCCTTACCAACTGAGCTATCAGTGAAGCCCTCTCTAAAGTTTATCCTCCTGCTGTTCTCTCCCTACATCTTGTTTGATTCTATCATAAATCTCATTTGTTGGTTTACTTATCTCCTCAGCTACAGTGTAAACACAATGAAGACAAGGACCATTTCTGTGTTGCTCACTGTTGTATCCCCACACCTGGCCTTGACCCTGGTACTTTGTAGGTTAAAAATGTTGAGGGACTTCCCTGGTGGTCCAATGGCTAAGACTCTGTGTTCCCAATGTAGGGGGTTGGGGTTCCACCCCTGGTCAGGGAACTAGATCCCATATGCCGTGACTCAAGATTCTGCATGTCACAACTAAAAAAGACCCTGTGTGCTGTAACTAAGACCTGATGCAGCCAAATAAATAAATAAATATTTTTAAAATGTTGAATAAGTGAGTGTATTAATGAATAAATGAGATAATGAAGATGTTATCTGGTGCAGTGATCACGGGGAAAGAAAGGAAAGAACATTTGAGACTTTTGAGACCAGGTTAAATGCCCAATCTTTTTTGAGGCCTTTCCTTATCTCTCTAGTAAGAGATTGACTATTAGTGCCCCATGGCTGAACATCCTCTGATTTTTGTTTGTGCCTCATTTGTGGTATATAACATGCTCTCTTAAAGTGATTGAACGACTATTCCATCCTGTCAGATTTTTACCTATCTTAAGGCAAAGATTATATTTTATTCATCTATCTCCCACAATATTCAGCACCTTACTTGGTGAATAGTAGACTGAATATATATTTAGAATGAAAGGATAGGGAATCATCTGAACATTTGCGTCTTCAGTGATGAGGGGAAGGTTTCTCCATAAATTAGGTAACTGAATAATTTCCCTGTGACTCATCATCTTTGGGAAGGAGGTTTTCCAATCTCATTACAAAAGTTCTTTGTCTAGGGCATGAGCTTGCCATGCTTCACTTTCTGAAGTAGACCAAAGAAAGACACAAATAATGGATTAACGTTTTTCTAGTATTAGTAATCTCAAGTAAAAAGTTTGCTATTTCCCCAGTGAATTATAATACAGAGCATTTCCCAGCACACCCCAGTAAGGCCAACAGAAATTACTTGGAACTTGCAAACTTTTCTCCTGGGGCGGGGGGCGGGGGGGGGGGGGGGGGGCGGCGCGGAAACCCAGTAATAGTGTTGAGCATACTGAGGAGGCACTTGGTTCCCAGCCAGTCTGTTCCCTGGCCAAGCCCCTCATCCCCTCTTCTTTAGTGTGTGTGGGAATAGGCTTAAGGGGAAGAGAAGGTAGAATCAATCTGAGACCCTCAGGGCCTTATTAGCATTTTTTACTTAGAGCTCCAGAGGTTCGAAGTGTGGACATCCCAACAGGCAGCTTTACTTCAGATCAATTAAGGCCAGACTGAGTTTTGCTTTTACTCTAAATGAATCTCAGGAGGTTAGTTAGGAAGATACCTCTAGGAACTCACTGAGTGACACGCCTAAAGAGGATCAGGAGCAGCTGGGATTTATTAAAGGAGTGATCAAGGGGCACATGTCCAGGAGAGGTCCCTGCAGATCTTGTTCCAAACATCCTGAGTAGCCTGGCAACTCCAGGGCTAACTCTCCCTGCTATTGTAACTTAAAAACTGTCCTTGAAAGGCTCTAATCCCACCCTAAATCTTTCCTTTGCAGTCTCTTTTAATTAGTCAGGAGAAGCTTATCTCTGATTTTGGGGTATCCCTGTGCATTTCTCTAATCTACCCCAATCATCAATAGCCAGATTAAATCCCTTCTGGAAACAAGACTTTCATCTCATTGTACCCTGCATTATGGATTGTCTGCAATAACAAAAAGTAAAAGCTATTCAACAATAGATTAATTGTAAATAAAATATGGACCACCTGTATAATGACATTTTATGCAGTCATCAAAATATTTATGATGAGTAGTTTACTCCATGAATACCTATGTAACTAGTTTTAAGGAAAAAATCAGAATAAATAATTATATACATAATATGAAAAAGCTATGTGAAATTTCTTTTTGGCAAAGAATAAATGGAAATACACCAAAATGAAAACCATGGAAGTATTATGTATATTTCCTACTTGTTATTTTTGTTTAGGGCTTCCCTGGTGGCTCAGATGGTAAAGAATCCGCCTGCAATGCAGGAGACCCAGGTTCGATCCCTGGGTCAGGAAGACCCCCTGGAGAAGGAAATGGCTACCCATTCCAGTAATCTTGCCTGGAGAATTCTATGGACAGAGGAGTCTGGTGGGCTGCAGTCCATTGGGTCACGAAGAGTCAGACAAGACTGACAAACACACACACACACACACACACACACACTTTTCCTTAAACTTTTCTAAATGACTTATCAATGAATTGGTTTCTTAGAGCTGTCATAACAAATTACCATAGACTAGGTAGTTTAAAGCAACAGGAACATATTACCTCACAGTTCTAGAGGCTAGAAGTCTGAAAGCAAGGTGTTGGCAGGTTTGGTTCCTTCTGGAGGCTCTGAGGGAGAATCTGTTCCATACAGCTCTCCTTCTGGTGGTTGCTGGCAATCCCTGGCATTCTTTGGCTTGTTAGACACATTACTCCATCATCACATGGGCTTTTCTCTGTGTGTCTGTGTCCGAATCTCCCTTCTTATAAGGACACTAGTCATTAGATAAGGGTCCACCCTTATCCAGTATGACTTCATCTTAACTTGATTATATCTGCTAAGACCCTATTTCCAAATAAGGTCACATTCACAGAGAGGTTGATGGGAGAATAAATACCCAGACTTTAAACTCTGTTCTGTCTCTCATCTCTAGTCAAATGGTAGAACACAAACGGAAGCCAGAGGGCAAGAAAGCTTATGATGGGGGACCACACACATCATCCTCTGGGCACTGAACAGGGTGAGGAATAGATTTGCAAGGGTAAAGGAAGCTGTCTAGAACATAAGATATTTATTTAGTGTCATGAATGTTTGGACTGAGGCCTTAGTTTTCCCCTAGAAGTTGTCAAGAGGCTGTTCCTTATCATCTGGGCCTTTTACTTTGCTTCATCAAAGTAATCTTCCCTGATAGCTCAGTTGGTAAAGAATCCGCTTGCAATGCAAGAGACCCTGGTTCTAATCCTGGGATGGGAAGATCCCCTGGAGAAGGGATAGGCTACCCACTCCAATATTCTTGGGCTTCCCTTGTGGCTCAGCTGGGAAAGAATCTGCCTGCAATGCAGGAGACCTGGGTTCAATCCCTGGGTTGGGAAGTTCCCCTGGAGAAGGGAAAAGCTACCCACTCCAGTATTCTGGCCTGGAGAATCCCATAGACTGTATAGTCTTTCACTTTCTTTCAACATTCTAACCTCCATCTTCTACCTCTTCATTGTTGTTGTTGTTTAGTTGCTAAGTCACCAGCCTCCTGGTACAAAAACAGTCTCTCCTGTTTTTTTTAAGGTTTCCAGGGGTTTGAATTGGGGTGGCCAGGTTGGAAGCTGCATCTGGGGATAGATGATGTTAAACCAGGTAATACCTTCATCTTTCTGGTTCCCTCCTTCTTCATGGGTCAATTTGATGAGTTCTCTGGGTGTGCTGGTAGGGAATAGGCACCAGCACTTGTGGCCCTGAACTAAGGCATCCCAGGCACTGGTTTCCAGAGGGTCAATGTGGATTCCTGTTCCAGAGCATGACGGCTCCATCACAAACCACCTGTCAGGGGCCTGCGCTTCTCCCTTGGATACTGCAAACTTGGGCACCTAGGAGTCTTCTAAAAGTTTCCTTCTTTTGGGGTGTTCCCCATAGCTGCTGTCAAAGATGTAAAGGGGGCTGTCATTGTGAGCGCTCTCCATGTACTGGATGTAGTATTCCATCTTCATCTTCACCGAGTCCCCGTCCTTGTCCTCGTCACACTTGAACTTCTGGTTCTGGGATTTCCTCTTAAGGCACTCCAGAGTTCACTTCTGTGCGGACTGGCCTTCTTGGGCATTCAGCAGAACAAAAGGCTTATACGGTCTTTCATATCGCTCTGCAAATTCTTCCACCGACAGCTGTAAACCGTCTGTCCTTTCCACATTGTCCACCACGGCCTCTAGGTTCAGGGGGAAGCTCTCGCAGTAGTTGCGCTGGGTCCAGTCCAGAGAGTCCTTCCGCTGAGGCTGCACACTCCGCTTACCTCGGGATGCGCTTCTTCTCTTGTGATTTATCCTGCAGGTCATCAGCTGGTTCCGCAACGACCTCAGCGCAGCTCGCTTCCTGCTACCAATGCGCCCCCTCCCAGGTTCCAGCTGTGGCACCAAAACCTTAATTTATTTTTAATTGAAGGATAATGGCTTTATAACATTGTGTTGGTTTTTTGCCATATATCAACATGAATCAGCCACAGAAATGAAACTTTTTAACATGGGGTAGACCAATGCATCTGAACCGGAGAGATCCTTGTGTTATCTTCTAAATTGGACTTGGGTATACAAATTAGGCGGAGAAGGCAATGGCAACCCACTCCAGTACTCTTGCCTGGAAACTCCCATGGACGGAGGAGCCTGGTAGGCCTCAGTCCATGGGGTCGCGAAGAGTCGGACTCGACTGAGCGACTTCACTTTCACTCACTAGAGAAGAAAATGGCAACCCACTCCAGTGTTCCTGCCTGGAGAATCCCAGGGACGGCGGAGCCTGGTGGGCTGCCGTATATGGGGTCACACAGAGTTGGACATGACTGAAGCGACTTAGCAGCAGCAGCAGCAGCATACAAATTAGGAGCAGATCGTGCTCCCAGCTCCTGCTCCCAGCCTCACAAATTTAGACTGCTTTCTTCTATTATCTTGAAGTTAGACCAACAGTATTAAAAAATAAAATTGGAGGGAGACATGGCAGAACATCCCAAGCCTGAGGTTGCTTTCTCTAGTCCCTCCTTGCAGCTTCTTTCTCACAGAGGACACAGCAGCTTCCATCACTGTCCCAAGACAAGTGAGGAGGGAGGTCTGTTGGTTCTGGGGGCTGTATTTAGAAAGGGGAATCGGGCTTGTATATACCTGACTGGATGCTCACAAAATAGTAGAATTGATGATGTTGCCATCAATTTTTTTTTGGGGGGGGGGATGTTGTTATATTTACATGTTCCTAAAGATGTGTGCCTATACTTTACCCTGAAATGTCTGATTGAGAGAGGCTTGCTATGGTAACCTGAGCTAACAGGGTAATAGGGGGCAATGGAAATGTGATGGCTAATTTTATGTATCAATTTGACTAGGCCAAAGAGACACAGATACTTGGTTAAGTGTTATTTCCAGGTGTGTCAGTGAGGGTATTTCCAGAAGAGATTACCATTGGAGTTAAGTATGCTGAGTAAAGCAGACTGTATTTCAATGTGGGTGGGCATCGTTCAGTTTGTTGAAGGCCTGAAAAGAATAAAAAGGCAGAGAAAAACAGAATGTGTGCTCTCTGACTGCTTGAGGCTTGGCATTGGTCTTCTCCTGCCTTTATCCCGGGACTTATATCATTGGTGTCCCAGTTCTCAGGCTTTGGATTTGCACTAGAACTATACCACCAACTTTCCTGGGTCTCCACCTCGCAGATGGCAGATTGTGGGATTTCACAGCTTTCATGATTGTATTAGTCAATTCTTCGTAATAAACCTCTTGAGATATATCTCTTTAACTAGAGTCACAGTGCACTGGAGAAAATGAAATAAGCACTTTCAGGCACTACTGGACACTGACTCTGAACTGACACAAATTCTAGGAGACCCAAAACGTCACTGGGTTCCACCAGTCAGAATAGGGGCTTATACAGATTAGGTGGTCCATTAAGCTTCAACTCAGATCCATTTCAGAAAGGGCATAGTCGGTCACCAAACCTATTCTGTGGTTACTTCTCCATTTCAAGAACACATGCTCACCAGTTGGCAGAATCCCCACATTAGTTCCCTGACTTATGGAGTGAGGGCTATTATGGTGGGAAAGGCAACGCAGAAGCCACTAGAACTGCCTCTTTCTAGGAAAGTAGCAAACCCAAAGCAATGCCACACTGCTGGAGGGATTGCAAAGATCAGTGCCACCACCAAGGACTTGAAGGATGGAGGAGTGGTGAGTCCCACTACATCCCCATTAAACTCATCTATGTGATCTGTGCAGAAATGTAGATGGGTCTTGGAGAACAAGAGTGGATTATCATAAGCCTAACCAGGAGGTGACTACAATTGCAGCTGCTGTACCAAATGTGGTTTCAATGCTTGATCAAAATAACACATCCCCTGGTGCCTGGTATACAGATATTGCTCTGGCAAATTCTTTTTTCTTGATAACTGTTAGTCAAGACCATGAGAAGTAGTTTGCTTTCAGCTGACAAGGCAAGCAATGCAGTTTCACAGTCCTAATACAGAGATATATCAAATCACCAGCCCTACTTCATAATTTAGTTTGCAAGGATCTTGATTACCTTTTCTTTCTATTATATATTACACTGCTCCATTACATGGATGTTATTATTGAAAGCTTGTTTTCTAACGATAGTAAGGATTTTCTCAGCAATGTGTTTATCATATGATAGTCAAATGGACTGTGTATTCATCATCTGTGGAAAAAACCTGTTTTCATGTTTATGCATGAAGCTTTAGAAACCATGGAAATAATATAAGCTCTAAAGACCTTGATGGGACTTATGGTAAGGAATCTGCCTGCTAAGACAGGAAGAGACATAAGAAACACAGGTTTGATCCCTGGGTCAGGAAGATCCCCTGAAAGAGGAAAATGGCAACCTACTCCAGTATTCTTGCCTGAAAAATTCCATGGACAAGAGGAGCCTGGCAGGCTACAGTCCATGGGCTGCAAAGAGTTAGACATGACTTAGCGACTAAACACACACACACACACACACACACACACAGACCCCATGCACGCTCCTGCTTTTTTGCTTCTGCTGACCTTAGTCCCTAGGGGGCGGCTACCCTTATTAATATCCTCTTCCACATAGATGTAAATGTATAAGTGGACTTAGGGCTCTTCTTGGGGAGCCATACTATCTTTTTTCCTCTTTGCAAGCACACCTTGGAGTATAGGTTCCAAAATTTAGAGTTGGGGACCAGGGGAAAGAGAGAGCCTTCATTCAAGGCTTGAGCCTGAGCAACATTTGCTAACTCAGAATTTATGGGAAAGTCCTATACTAGGAGTTTTCAGACACTGACTTAACTAATGAATGATTCCCATTCTGTCACTTTTCCTTACTTCTGAGTCTAGGATAAGGTCAGTCATGAACAGGCCCAGTGAAATTTCAGAAGGAAGATCTATATTAAAGTGCCAGGCTAGTACTATCCTACAAGATTTACCACTCATTCCCCCAAATGAGACCTCCCCACAATCTTGGGGATTGCATTCCATTTAAAAATTTCTCATATTTTCTTTCCATAGCTGGATTTTTTCAAATATCAATAGTAGAAAGGCAAAAATTAGAGAAAATTTTATATGTACAAAGATATATGTATAAAGTAAACTTGAGATTTAATACTTGAGGAATGTGGTAATAGTTTCTGACTCCTGTGCTGTTTGACAGAAAAACCAAATCTCTCTTTATAACCCAATATCAGTAGTTATTGTATAAGTGATGGAAAGGGGTCTAGTTAAAAGGAAAAGAGTAGGCAATAAGTAAAAGAGGTGAAAGCCAAATGGAAAGTGAAAAGTTTTTCCTACAGGAAAGACAGGAGTGAGCAGAAGGGGCAGAGACTTTGTATTGGCATGGACTTCCATTAATGATAAATCACTGCTCAATTATTTCTAGTAAATTCTTGTAATTCTTTTTCAACTTACAGGTCATTCATTCTGATTTATATAAAATTGAAGTCAGCTCTTGCTTAATGAAAAAAAGCCAGCACAGATCATTATCCAGTGAAGTAATATCTCAACAGGTCTCCTGCTTGAGGCCCTCTTGATTCTGATTGAAAATTTTGCTTCTCCATTCTTTCTGAAAGAAAGTTATACTTAAAGTCCTCACACATTGTCATATTTAATGGGTTCCCTCCTTTATCCATCAATCATGGGGCTTCTAGACCACTGAATTCTCTAGAACTTTAAACACTTGACATTCAGCCGTATATTTCTTGGGTATCTACTATTCCCCAGACACTATTCTAGATGCAGGAGGTGCAGCAATGGAGATAACAGACATGTCCCTTGCTCTCATGGATTGTAGATTCTAGAGGAAGGGGAAGTTAACTATCCAATCAATAAGTAAACAAATAGGATATTATTCAGATAACAATAAATGCTATACTACTTTATATTGGGCGGTCAGGGAATGACTTGAGACAAGGATGATGTGAAGGAGCAAATGTGGAGATTTTGGAACAGAGAATTATAAGCAGAAAGAACAAAAAATGCCAAGTGCTAAGGTGGGAATAAGCTTGGTAAGTTCAAGGAAGAGAAAGACTAGTGTGATTGGAGCAAGGTGAGCAAAGCAGAGACAAGTGGTACAGGTGTCCAGAGGACAGTTCATGCAGGGAGTGTAGGTCAAGGAAGGAGCTTGAATTTCATTTTACATATATAGGGAACAGAATTGTCTAGAGTAGGGTTCATAAGAACTTCATCACAGAAAAAGTCAAATGAAGAAGAAATACAACAGCTGGCAAAGTTATTTCCTTTCTGGTTGAACTTTTCTTTTTGCTTAGATAGCAAAATAGCTATCTAAACAAAGAGCTTATTGTATCTAGTATCAATTATGAAATAATCTGCTGAGAAAGAATTCTTAAACAAGACTTAAAAATACATAAAAATAAAGATTTCTGCCCAAAGAATTTTATTGACATTAATTATATAATAAAATATTAATATCCAATGAATGAGAATTTTTCAACATATACTTTTACCCTAACAAAGAGAATTTCCTTGTGTAATTATTAAAATATATAATTGAAAAATATATTCTTAAATAAAATCACAAGAATTCCTCATATTCCAGAATACATTCTTTTTATTCTTTTATTTTATGATCCTTAATCTTTTCCTTTATCTGCCCTTCATAGTAGCAAGAGATGGGGTAAAGAAAACAAAACATTATTTAAAATGCTGTTAGGCAGCAAATAGTTTTCAAAACACTTTAAATAGTATTACACAGTTAAAGAGGTAAATTTATTCAAATGATGATTTGATGAATTGATAATTTGGCCAACTGGCCATTTGCTCTTGTTGAACTGGCACTATACATACTGTTAGTGAATTAGCTGAGGCCA